TATCGTATGTCAGTTTGACATTTCTAATTTATTCAAGATTTTAGATTTTACCAATTTTCAACCATGCGATTCTTTATGCAGGAAACAAAATTATAATTTTGACCTGCCATATTTATCGGCTTAAATATTACCAATAAGTTGGATAAACAATTATTCAATTTCATTTCAGCACCTTTTTTATTAATTGAAGTTTTTCGATACTCGATTGTTAGAACACTGGACTGCTAGTGGTAATCAGTCAAAGACGTCATTAAAAGCTACGACTTCGAGAAGAAGATAATATATCCAAATACATGATGTACAAGAGTTGTAAACATTTAAATATTATTCTTGCATATGCAACAAAATGTGTGTCTCTATGTCAAATGATTTTCCCATTATATTTTTTCAAAATTCTTTGACATACTATACTGCACTTAATGTAAAATCTGCCTAAAAATGCTCGAGAAATACTGCATTTCAAATTTGTTGCTGCCCCCCTCCCAGAGGCACAGCGGAAAGTCTGAAGGTTTATAACGCTAAAAACTGAGTTTCGATACCCGTAGTGGGCACAGCACAGATAGTCCATTGTGTAGATTTGTACATTACAGCGAAAAACAAATAAATCTGTTGCTATCTGGTACTTTAGGCCTCTTGACAGAACTTCATTAAGATTATGTGATTATTTTTATAACTTTATATTTAAGTTGCACGTGTAATTTTTAGGCCATGATCTTTTTAATGCTTCATTTATAGTTCAACCATTTTTCTTGGCTTATTGATTTATGTTTAAAATTTTAAGCTGTTTAAAAACTGACTTACTAATACAAATTTAAAATAATATTTCATAGATGGTACACGAACGTTTATCGCGTGAGTTTCCAGTACTATTACGTCTTATGCTGATAAAGCTAAATCAATCTCACGTTTTCAATATGTTGTATTTTACACTAGAAAATTTGTTACAGTTGTGTTACAACTGAAATAATTTTATTTTAGTGCATATACATACACTTATATATATATGATGATAAGAACTTGAAATTTTCCATTTCATTTGATTTTTATTTATGAAACTGAACTTAAAATTGCGAAAACAATAATTTATTTTTTAGTTTTAGTGTTAGAGCGCTGAAAAAAGCGATATATATATATATATAATATATTGTGTGTAGGATTTATGTGTATGCGTGTGTGTGTGCAGATATCTTGATTCGTTTGGTCATGAATATTTTACGAATTTCCATAGCAACAGATAATCTATCCTTTGGTGGGTGAGCGATAGGCTTAAGAACTAGCAACACTAAAATCCAGGGTTCGATTCCCTTCGATGTATAGATCACGGATAGCTTATTGTTTAGCTTTGCGTAAAACAACAACCAAACAACCAGATAATCTTGAAATAGGATGCAAAATGTATTTAGGGTGATAAAATGTAAAGCAAATAGTATCCCGAAGGTACGCCTGTCTTTATTATTTTGTTTTGTTTGTTTGTCGCTAAGCGCAAAGCTACACAATGGACAATCTGTACTGTCTATTATGGGTATCGAAACGCGGTTTCTAGCGTTATGAGCCATCTGACGTACCACTGAGCCACTATTGCGCTTTCTTTAACATCACCCAGTTATTGTTAAGGTAATACAAGCGTGTTCTGGCATCTTTTAGATTGCTAATAATAATAACTATCAGAGACCCACAAAACATTTGCGGTCAAATTAGTATCTCTATTACAACAGTACTTCTTTAAATATAGGATTTTTAGAATAATACAAAAGAAATCTAATCGCAAACACTGAAATCTGTAAGTCCACTTGCCTTAGGCCTAACATTAGTTAAGCCTTTATTAAGTACGGCCTATATTCGATAAAGAGATAAAATTAACATTGTAACTTGTGTATGCATTTTGCTTTAGTTTACTTAGAGCTAAACTTTACCGTACTTAATACTATCAATTAATATACTTATAATGTTATTCTACGACATAGCGTTAGACCTTTCTTAAAATCTTTGATAAGCTTTTAATGTGATGTTTTACAAAATATCTACTAAAGTATATTTACATCCGTTGAAATGAAGTGCGTGCGCATGCGAATTTAGAGAGTAAGGTGCACGCACATTTTCAGGACAGACAAAAAAACTGAGCATTATTATATTATATCCCCTCTTTCTATTATGTATGAATTTCGACTACAAGGTTTCTTGCTTTTATAACAGAGCATTACAGTGGTTCACATATTTTACAAAATAATGTTTAAAGTTATATCTAAATAATTAATTATAAAATGCTCCATTTTAACAGCAGTATATACCAGGGAGGGTGATAATGGTGAAGCCACGTGCTTAACCAGTTTATATTTACAATAACTGCAGACTACCGCAAGCTCATATTTTAGTGAGTTTCTTTACACGAGAAGACCTTATTTCAAAATATTATAGCTTCAATAACACGCCGCCGTTCATCGGCAGGACGCACTCGTGCACTGTGTGAACAGGCACAGAGACCTAGTTTCTACCTCAGTTTTTGACGAGCCTACTCATGTGCTTATTTATATTAGCATCCTGTAATCTGTATAAGGAGTTCAAACTAAAGTACTTTCGTGTCGTAGTTGCGTAATATTCGTTATAGTGAAGCCCCATCTGTTTTTTATTTATTGTATTTTGTGTTTGACGTTTCAAATAAGTTATTAAGGTAACGTCATCTATTGTGACAAGTTAAAACATTATTCGTTTTACTGGTACCATATAGAAACTATGGTGATGAGAGGTTGTTATTTGAGTATTTTCATCTTGTGTGTAGTGTTACGTTGAAAGGCGTCAGATAGCTTTGAGGACCTACCCAAAAAGGTTATTATGTTTCTTATCTTTTAATAGGTTTTAAGTTTAAAAACAAAATCAAAAGCATATGATAAATACACTAAAATAAATTATGTCGGCTTAGAGGCAACTGTGTATTTTTTCTTACACAGACATTACTTTAATAATTTACAATATATAAAACTATCAAAGGCTAAAATAAAAATAATAATAAGTTTTAAGGACACTTAAGAAACGAGTAAAAGAGAATTATTTGATGGGTTTTTATCTGTATATTTGTAAAAACGATAGTGCAACTAAAAGCAGTAAAACCGAGTTCGGAATGAATAGTATTAGTGGTTGTAAGTAAAGCTCTATTTGTTCAATATTATATTACGATAATTATTGTGCTTACCAAATGATGATTACAACATAACCAATAAGATTCTCGTAGGAAGTAAATGATTGGGTATTTTGAGTTAAGAATCATAATGCTTACTGGTGTATGGCAGTAACATAGAGCTGGCCAACTTGCTATAAGACGAAAAAACACTGAGATTGGAACAAGAAATAAGCCAAAAGACAAGCATATAATTCATAATCAAAGCTAAAGGCTTATAAATTGACCAATCAGCTCATCAGAATTGGCAGTCCCAATATCTCTTCACCGGAAAAGAACCAGCATGTGATGTAAACGTCAAAGGCTGAACAACGAGGGTACTCAACTGATGAAATTAATGCATTTTAATCTTTATAAGTAACCAAGTAAAAATATATATTTAATTAGCTATAGTCAATATCGATACCGATAAAGTCAGAATCTCTCATGATTCGGAACATTACTTTGTTTGGAAGTTAATTTCAGAGATACAAGGAAGAAATATTAACTTTACGTGTTAAAGTTTAAAATCGTAATATGTTACTATATCCACTATGAATGAAACACGAGCTTACAGCAAAACTGGCATAATCAATATTCTATTTCATAATGAACAGTTGTCCATTGTCATTGTCAAAGAAACGTAGTTTATACATTCCTAACTTATTTCACTATATTTTACATCTCGTATTATATTTCCATCATCATATATCTCATTACCTTCCCTATTTCACACCTCCCTTGTTTTTTATAGACAGCAACTCCTCAGATCTATACGACTTCCACCGTTTCCATTTATTTCTGTCATTCTCTTTCATTACAGTATTTCAAAACATAGAACAAAAATATGTTTCAGATAGAAAGAGAAAGGCGTTTGCATGGGGCTTCTGGAGTTATATAAAAATTATAATTTATATGATGTAAGGGTAGTTAGGCCTGTTTATTACACACAATAACACTGCATTTACAAACAGTAGCCCGGATGTAACAGATACGGTTCGGGTATTACACAGAAAAACTCTGCTCTATTTCTGCCCCGTTTTTTTCTTCTTTTTTTTTCTCCCCTTAATTTTGCTGTGGTTCTGAGTTTTAACAATTGAAATTTCACTTTTTTTTGTCTTATTTTCTTCATCTTACATTGAATGGAGAATGGAACTTTTTCATATATTTTTATAGTTTGAACTACTAATGGTACACTCACCATTTCAATGTCCTATTGTGAACTGATTCTTTATTTCTCTTTTCCTTTTTTTTTCTCCGCATGAATTTGCCTCATTAAAGATTTTTAATTTTTGATTAGAAGTTCAACATTTTTATCACTAGGTTACCTGTTGAACAGTCAGTTTTGATAAGTTCACTATTGTTGGTGGTTTTTTTTTGGTGCACGTGTTAAATAACTTACGACGAATATTAAATAATTGTTATTTTTTATATCTTACACATGTAAACGTACTCCTCAAACTCACAGTGGCTTAATTGTTTAACAGTAACGTTATACGACCTCGCTTTCAGGAACCAGATATACACGTTGGTTGTTTCCCTCAGCTTATTGAGATCAGTGTGTTCGTCACGTGCGTTTTAGAATGAATACATCATATGTAATTGGAGTGGATTTGGGAGCTCTCGCACTAACCCCATATGTTGACATTAACCTGGATAATTATAGATACATAGTTAGATAAGTAACTCCATTTTTATTTCCGCATGGGTGGATAACTTTCTATTGGTCAGAAGAGTTTTAAACGTTAAGCAACCTGGTCTGGTCTTCGTCAGACATAATATTTTATTTTCGTTTTGTCTGTTTGAGTTTCTGAAATAGCAGGCACCGTCGAAAATCTCTTGAGTTTTATTAAACATCCAGTCTTAGCTTTCCTTGTGTTTTGAGAGTTATATCCTGTACACTTGTAGAAATTTGTTTCGAGTGAGGTTATTTTGATATATGGTATCCACAGACCCTCTACAGGATAACAGTGAAGATAAGCTACTAAACGAATCGTGGATTTTGAATACGCGTTTAATACAAATCGAACAATAAATTCAGAAAATAGTTGGATTACTAACTGGTTTTCCAGCTATCTTTCTAATTCAGTCCTTATTGGTGAGGTTCTACTTTCTGGGATATTGGATATTTGTGGCGTATCTACTTTTGTTACCCTGTATAAAGGTAAGCTGCTAAACGGACCGTGGGTTTTGAATAATAGTTCAAGACAAATCTAAACAGTAAGGTAAATAATTCATGAAAAGATACCTAGTACTTAAAAACTTTTAAAAGGAGGTGAAACTTATCTTTTGCTTGGATCTTGTGATTGAACTTAGTTTGCCTTTATTTGGTAAGTAAATGTGTTTTAAAGTGTTACGTATTATAACTTCAAATAGCCTGAAATTGAGTTAATTGATAAATTTCAATTTAGTAGTTAAATTATATTTTGGATTTAGTATTTAAATATATGCCGATATACAGTCAGTTCGTGATATTTGCCAACAAGATTGATACACACAGTTTTCTTTTATAACACCAATACGTTTTAATATACACACAACAATACAATTTACAATAACAATTATAACAAACAATGATTTATAAACAAGAGTTTTACAAACTTACAAGCAATATAAAGTCTTCCTTTTAGTCTGGAACGTCTTCAATATATTATTGAGGGTTCACGATGAGCGAGTTGATTACGAGT